GGCTCCCCCAGTTCTTGTACATTTGGAATGTGTTTCCTTGTTCTAGAAGGGGTGCAGGCTTTATCTCTGGAAAGGGTCTTTGTTTTGTAACAAATTCTCTCCAATCTTTTTAAATTTAAAAGCCAAGAGGAACCCAGGCTAGTGTAGTTCAGTTGGCTGAGCGTCATCATGTACACTGAAAGGTCGCTGGTTTGATTCCCATTCAGGGCTCATGCCTGGATTGCGGGTTTGATCCCTGGTCAAGGTGCATGGGGGAGGCTGCCGATGGATGTTTCTCTCCCACATCCATGTTTCCCTCTCACATCAATGTTTCTCTCTCCCTCTCTTTCTTCCTTTCTTTTTCTCTAAAATTAATAAAAACATATTAAAATTAAAAAAGAAAGAAAGAAAACCAAGAGGAACCAAAGAAGCAGTGAATGTTTATTATAAACTCAATCTTTTATCTACCATTTCCTGACCAAACAATCTATTGGAATCATAACTTGCCCTAATTCCCTGCCAGGAAAACTGTGACAAGCCAGGTGGAATGATGGATGGCCAGTGATGGAAAGTTCTCTTTGGTCAATCTTGTAACTTTGGTTGCCTTGGTGACTCTTTATTGCCACCCCAGTCCCTTGACTCCTATGTTATACAAATTTCCAAATCATGATGACAATAAAGGTTGCATATAGCAGAAAGTCTTTGTGGTGAAAATTCTACTCATCAGCTTCATATCTAGAGGTCACGGCCCTTTGCTGGCCCAGACATTTTAGAGTTGCTTGTTCACTCTTAGTATTTGGCCCTTTGGAAATCTCTCTTTTTACTCCTATTCTTGCTCCTTGCTTCCCTCCATATTTGATATTTATCAAATGGCATCAGCCCCTGTGGACCAGGAAAAGTTGCCAATGCCTCATGAGCATCTGGCAGAACTCAGGAGCTGGATCCAGAAATCAAGGTGGCCTCACCTCATTTATTCAGGTACCTGTGTGTGCCAAGCACTGTGCCAAGCACAGGGGAACAAAAATGAGCAGTACAGGTCCCTGCCCACCAAGCAGCAGGGGTTTACCAGGATCACGGGTGCCAGATTTAACAAATAGAAAATACAAGACACCCAGTTTAATATTAAAGAACAAACAATTTTTAGTATAAGTATAATCGTTTTAGTATAATATAATACATTTTTAGGGACATACTAAAAAATTTCAAAAAATTTTGTTGTTTAGCTGAAATTCAAATTTGGCAGGGCATCCTGTATTTTACCTGCAAACCTACCCCAGGACACCTGCCCTGCCCCTCTTGGTGTTGGTGGACATCCAGGGATAACTCACAAGTCCCTCCTGGCCAAAGTCCCCTCGGAGGGAAATCTGAGGGAGATAGAAGTCATGCTCCCAGCTGAGAGTCCTCTAACTCACTTAAGCCATAGTGCTTACTCACCAACACCTGGTACCTGGAGACGGGGCAGGGAAAAGAAGCTGTAGGACCGTCCTCTCCTAAAGTCTGATGCCATTGCATTCTCCAGGGACATCACTTTCCTCTGAGATATGGAATATTGACCAGCCTGTGTTTCAGTCATTGATGTTTTCTTTATACATTAACACAAGGTATAGGCAGGGCAGATTAAATTCCAAGGGAACGACAGTAATAAAAACAATTAATTATAATAGTATAACCCAGTGGTCGGCAAACTGCGGCTCGGGAGCCACATGCGGCTCTTTGGCCCCTTAAGTGTGGCTCTTCCACAAAATACCACGTGCAGGCACGCACGTACAGTGCGATTGAAACTTCGTGGCCCATGTGCAGAAGTCAGTATTTTGTGTAAGAGCCACACTCAAGGGGCCAAAGAGCCGCATGTGGCTCCCGAGCCACAGTTTGCCGACCACTGGATAACTTAACGTCTATTGACTGCCTGTTATGTGCTAGGAGCAGCACTTCACCCTGGTTCTGTCATTTCATCTTCCCAACAATCCTATGAGTTAAGTAAAGTATGGACCCCCTTTCATAGGTGGGAAAATGGATATAAAGAGTACAATGAACAAAAGAAAGATCTCCATAAATAAGAAAATTTTATTTTTTAAAAATCAGAAACTGATCCAATAAAATTATCTAGGACGATTTACTATAACCATGTGAAAATTGATGTTTGGGGGGTCGGGGGGATGCTACTTTTCCCTGCGGCCCCACAGGAACAAGAAGAGACTTTATTTAGGGGAGGGCAGATCAACCAGAATAAGAGAAGGGCTAGGGAGAGAGCAGCAGAGTTGCTCAGCAGGGAGGAGAGCTGGCCAGGGCTCTGCAGGCTTCACCTCCTACCTCTAGCACAGGCACTGCAGTGACACACAGGTGAAACAGTGGCCACTTTTAGCTGGGAGGAGACTAAGCAGCCTTGAAGCCAGAGGTTTCCTGGATATCAGGGCCCCAGCTCCTAGGCATGGCTGCCGGCCACCAGCTCAGCTCTTGGCCCTGACTAGTGCTGGAGGAGCTGTCTTCAGGCAGAGCTCAGGCAGCTGGCAGAGGGTCCCCACCGCTTGCTTCTCCTGGGCCCAAGGAGGCTTGGGAAGAAGATGGCAAGGAAGAGGAACTGGAGTCTAAAACCTTCCTCCATACCCACCTGGAAAGAAACAGTAGAGGCCTCTGACTTCAGGCCTGCCCTGACTACAACCACCATAGGTACAATCACTATCACTGGTAATCAGTATGGGAACCTGTGCCTTGGTAGGCAGGAAGCCAGGAGACTAGTGGTCCTGACCCATCTTCTTCCATCTAATATCCTACTGGTGCTTTCCATTGGCCAAACCCAACAAAACAACCCCCCATAAAAGCTATTATGTACAAAGAAAAAAAAACTAGTAAATGTATGAGAAATTATTTCTTTAAGAACTCACATATTTTGAGAATTAAACATGTATATAATGCTCAATATGTGATATATGCATATTGAGGTGTACTTTGTGCTTCACAAATTTTTAAGTTTTGATAATCCCAGCTATAGAAATTTCTGAAATACATTTCTTGGAACCAGAGAAATGGTAGAAAATACCCCCCCCCCCAAATTTCTCATCTGAAGAAGGTTTATTGGATCTTTTAACATTAACCTTGGTAATCGTCATGGTTTGTAAAATAGCATCCAATGAATTATACTGTCTTGACTTCATTTGTAACAGGAAATGAAACCACTTCTGGATAGGCGACGTCGGAGTCTCCCATCTATTTGTGGGCAGCCAGTATCATACATGTGTCAGAAAGGGAATCATGTTCATGATTAGCCTTTATTCCCATTCGACTCATGTATGTTTCAGTCATACATGACTATGGATAATACATTTTTCATTATGTATGAAAAAACAGAGGAAGCCTATAAAAATTATATTAAAAATGCATAATTCAAATTTTCCCAGCAATAGCTTACTGTGCAAGAAACAATGTCCTGGTTACCTAAGGGGTGATCCGCTGTCCTTCCCAGCTTGCACCATGAATATCTGTCACTGGCTGGACTAACAAGGGGATTCCAACCACTGAGGACCCCAAACTATAAACCTTCCCTCAAGGCAGGATCCCTCTCGTCCAGCTACAGAAGCTGCAGAATCCAACCCTGCCAACCAACCTTCCCAGTGCTCACCAGAGACATGGCCCAGAAATGGGTGGAACATAACTGAACAAAACAACAACTGTCTCCAGCTTGTTTGTCTTGGTTTTCCTTTTAAAAAAGCAATGCCATTAAAAAAATATCCTTTCTCACCCTCACCTAAGTACTCTGCCACGTTCACTTTGGCCCTTAGGGGAAAACAGTCATATGTTTGCAAAAACCAGAATGTTTCTGTAAGTTTGAAGCCCTTTCCTCAACTTCTAGGAAAAATGCTAAGAGAGCCAAATAAATAAATACACACAAGAAAAAGCAACAGAGTCATCAAGCCGTCTTGATGAGTAGACTTCTAGGGATTATTAACCCTTGTGTTTATAAGAAAGTAATTAATACTAACCCCACGTGATATGATTGATAGTGATTGTTAAATTAAAATAACTCTAGGTGGGCTCATATTAGAAGGCGGGTTAGGGAAGATAAAGGCAGACTCACTTCTGTAATCATTCAGCACCTTAGTGAGCATCGGCAAACTACTAGTGTTTCTGCAGCTTATCTATAGCTCATACTCTACTTAGGGCACTGTGTTTGCCCTTAGAGGGGTTCCAAAATTATTCCCCAAATAGCCCCTGCTTTAAAGGAGGTCATTGGAATGACACATGGGGTGTTATGTAAAAGATATTTGGAACTACTAATATCATTCATGGAAAACCTCTTTTACACAACATATTGAAATTCAAAAAGATGTTTGTAAGATGAGAGAATCACACTGATTTCCATAAAATTAGCAACTGATGATTTCCCCCCTCCACTTGAAATGTTCTTATTCTATCAGTTTCAGTACAAACAGATCAGCATACGTAAATTTTCTAGAAAATACCTGGCATGAATTTTGTATAAAAGCCATGCTTTTGAAGAGCTAGGTAGGAATATGGTAGATGACCATAAAAACTGCTTTGTATTCTCTGAATCCTTCAAAGTATTTCTAATACAAAGTTGACATAAACATCAATGTTTCTAAACTTCTAGCAGAATAAGCTATAGAGACAATTTCAAAAACCTTTGTTCATAGATGTTACTCAATAAAACATTTATTAAATGACTAATAAAAATTTATCAGCCTGGCTGGTGTGGCTCAGTGTTTGAGCATTGACCTATGAACCAGGACGTTACTGTTTGATTCCCATTCAGGGCACATGCCGGGGTTGTGGGCTCAATCCCTAGTGTGGGGTGTGCAGGAGGCAACCAATCAATGGTTCTCTTTCATCATTGATGTTTCTATCTCTCTCTCCTTCTCCCTTCCTCTCTGAAATCAATAAAAATATATTAAGAAGAAATGCATCAGGTAAAGTTTTCAGTTCTGAATTAAAAGCAGTTAGAGAGCAATGCTGTTCTGAAGGGGATATATGACTAGTATCTAATGCAATCATCTTTATTCCTTTAGGAGAAAAATCAGCACTGAAATTGAATTCCCTGAGAAGTTAGAAGGAACCAAGCTCACCGCAGCTGAAAATGAAGACCAAAAAAAGCTCCATGTTAAAATACAGGCTTTTGAAGACAAAATAAATGCTGAGATCAATACCCCTGGATCTATCAGAAGATATAGTTTGGGCCAAGTTTCCAAGGAAGAAAGAAAAGACATTAGATTTAACAGGTATAAATTTTGCTTGGCTGTGTTTTTTTTCCAAATATGTAATTCATGTTGGCTATTGGTTTTATTATCACACTGTTATGGGGTGTTTTTTAAGTATCTTTTACTTATAGTAACCCAAACTTCCATCCTTTCATGAATGAAACTTCCTTCACAATACTTTAATTATCCAAAGAAGCTCACTTTTGAAAAAAAAAAATGAGAATACAAATGGCTTATTTTTTAAAACACTTTTTAAATTCTATAGATATGGAGAATGACTTTCAAAAGCTTCTTAATTTCTGATGAAAAAGCTGAAGGAGAAGTAGAAAAAAAACAATATAAATATATAAGTCCATCATGTTCTAGCTAGTTTTGCCACAAAATTGATTTTTAAATCTATGGGCAGGTGATCTACATCTTTAAAGGATTGGCTTATTACATAACTTGGTGGTCTATGTTTTATCAAATCTGTTAGTAGCACTGATTTTCCGTTTCACACTCTAGAGGAAATAACTTTTGTCCCAGTGTTGTTATTCTTTCTTTTCCTTGTCAGTGAATGGTCACTCTTTACTGTCTCGGCCTTCCCTTTGTTTGTATTGTAGGTCAAAGAGTCTGGCTTTGCACACTGTGCTAACAAAGGGCATGAGTTCAGATGATGGGGAAGTTGTTGAGAGAGGAGATATACCAGCCAGCATCTCCCTTTCAGAAATAGACTCACTTAGCCAAGGAAATAAGTCACCCTTTAAGGCGGACACTGATGGATCACAGCTGGGAAATTCTTCAGTTTCACACCCAAGCATTATACATATAGACTCAGAGAATCTGCCAGAAACAGTAAAAAAAAACTATCAGGAAGAAACTCCAGAGACGACTGTAAGTCCTGTAGAATACCAAGATAAGCTCTACTTGCACTTAAAGAAGAACCTCAGTAAAGTGAAAGCATACGCCATGGAAATCGGAAAGAAGATTCCAGTCCCTGACCAGTGTACCATTGAAGGTAAGATCTCTGAACTCCCCAACTTTGAAAAATTTAAGACATCATTAGAAAAAAAAGGGGGGGGGCTCAAAATGACAGAAATTGCATTTTCTGGTTCTTTTGAAAAAATAGATCATTTTGAAGCACCACTACATTATTTTAATTACTTTTCCCCCCAATAAGGTCAATCATCTTTCTAATTCTCATTTGAATCTACTTCATCTGATTTGTTTGAAACTCAAGGGTATATTGTTTCTGGTTCCTTGTCCCTAGCCATCAAGAAAAACCTAGAAAGGGGTCTGTGGCCCCAAAACAGTCTTTATGGTAGGGGTCCAGCCAGAGGCATTTTTCCACCCACATAATTGTGCAAGGAAACAATACACAGCATTGGGCTTCAATCGACTTTTTCTTCCATTCATTCAACAAGCATTTATGAAGCAGCTACTATATGCTAGGTGCTGAGATTCACCTTTGACCCAAAGAGACACAACTCCTCGCCTCTTGGAGATTAGAGTAGAGAAGGAAAAGAGCACAGCCATGGTCAGGAGGCGGTGTAGGTCCGGAACCAGTGAGAGTGTGAGCTGGTCAGAAAACAGAGGCCAAAGTGAGAAAAGGATGTCAGGGGTCGAGACTTCTCTGGGGTGCACATTTGAAGGAGGTGCCCAAAAAACTCAGTAAAATTTGAAGTAACAATAGAATCAGCAGCAATGTCTTGCCAGCCATGTTGGAGATGAGGTAAGTAGTAATGTGGGTCGCATCTTTATTTATAGCTTTTGATATTTTGTTCACCGTTGTTGTATTCATTTCAATTTTTTAAAATATTGTTTATCTTGAGTACCCAATTTTCTGGTGCCTCCTCACATGTCATGTCTTAGTCCTGTCTCTGGGAAAGATGATGGATTTGAGACATGGGTATTAAAAATGGCAGAGTTGCCCAGACAGTGTGGCTCAGTGGTTGAGATTTGACGTATGAACTAGGAGATCACGGTTCAATTCCCATTCAAGGCACATCCCTGGGTTGCAGGCTTGATCCACAGTGTGGGGCATGCAGGAGGCAACCTATCAATGATTCTCTCTCATCATTGATATTTTCTCTCTCTCTCTCTCTCTCTCTCTCTCTCTCTCTCTCTCTCCCTCTCCCTTCCTCTCTGAAATCAATAAAAAAAATATTTTTTAAAAATGACAGAGTTCCAAGGCAGGCTCACCCTCTGGTCTGGTTTGGATGGCTCCAAGGCACTGCCAGGGCAATTAGATCTTTCCTATAGCCATTCTTAGGCAGCAGGCATGTTCTTCCCTTGAGATTCAGATGGTTCAGATGGAAGTCTTAGCCCTCTCCTTGGACATGACATCTTTTCACAGGCTACAGCCCTCACTGAAAAAGCCAGGCAGCCCATCTTCCAGAAAGAAGTACTGCTGAAGGATAGTGACTCCAATTCATAGTCACTCACCTACTGACCATCCTCCCCTTCCAGGTTTAGGAACTAGAAGGAGTTTTCCTACTCTATTTTCTATCCCAACTCTCACTCCAAATCAGAGGGAAGAAGATATTCTCACACTAACAAATGCAAGGGGCTTAGTGGGTTTTAGGGCTTGGGAATGATGGATATTATTATTTAGCATGTCTGTCTAGAATCTGACATTTTCAAAGGTGTTTACATTCATTTATTGATTAGCCTTCTTTTTAAATGTTGAAAATAAAAGTGATATTGCTCATATTCAATATAACTTTTGGATAATGAAGTATATCAGGACTTGGGAATAACTAAAATCAATCAAACTCAACTAATACAAACTCTTTACAATTGCTCATTTCACTAGTAATCTATGCATTTATGCACAAGTTGAAGAATTTGATTTAAGAGAGGTTAAATGAATTTCCCAGTTTGGCAGAGGAAGTCTGTAGCAAATAGAAAGCTAGCCACATTTCCATCTACAAGAATAGTTTCTGTTTTGGGGGTTTCTTGCTTTAAGTTTAGCTTAAAGCATTCAAGGTATGCTACATGGTGAAGTCCTGCAGAGTTACTTCAAGCATCTAGTTCTCAAAAACATGTGGTATTTCTTATTGCCTTAAATTATTTTGTGTGTTTGAGAGTTAACTAGGTGACTGGGTGGTTTGTTGGTTTTTTCTCCAAAATGTTGAATGAATCCATCATCTTTACTAACATAAATAAATAAATAAATAAATAAATAAATAAATAATTTTCTTTTGATGTTTCCTATCAGGAATGACCTAAAACTGAGTATGTATATTTTTAAGTTGACACTTAGGAATTCACTCATACTTTTATAATTTCCTGGATGTTCTTGGTAAATTCCTTGTGCAGATATATGTGTGAGGGATGAAAGATTTATATGACTCAATGTAAATAAATCCACCAAGAAAGGCCTCATGCTGACTGCAGGGGACACGCTGTTATTATTTCAGAGATTGTGTAAACCATTCAGCAAAATGCCAACAGTCATCTGGGTGACACAGTTTTGCTTGGTCTCATGAGTTCACTCGGCTCAACAATACAGTGCTTCTTTCATAAAGATTCATAGAAGGAAGATTTAGGCTTAGAGATTGTTATGCTTAATGTGTTGTGGGTATATGATGTCTTTCTTGCAACTTATGCAAAGTAATCAAGGTACAAAGGGAAGAAGCATAAAAATCACTTCCACAATATTAAACAGACAAATAGCCAGCAGGAAACAAGATCAACAACAAAGGGTTGAGATGAGTTTAGTCTGGTGTTACAAAGTCCATACTATGAAAACATGACAAAACAACCCTTTAAAGAAATTGCTTTTTGGTATTGGTTAGAATCATATGCCACAACTGATATTTGACTTCCTATATTTTTACCTATAAACCAACACTTGCATACAGTTCAACTTAACACTTTGGTAATAAATGGGGTTGAAGAAACAGGTACCTGACTAGGTACAGTGCAGCAGAATTCAGTATATGGTGAATCAAGGTCACAAATAACTCTCCTAGCCTCAGTCAGCTACCTTATTATTGATCACAGTGCAAACAGGCAATCTACACTGATAAAAGAGAAAAATGCAAATTGACCATACCTTTGCGACACCCACTAGCCAATCAGGCGTGAGTATGCAAATTAACACAGCAAAGATGGTGGGTTAATTTGAATATGCAGGCGCCGAGCAGGGACGCTTGCATCCCGCACCGCCCCAGCCGCTCCGGGCCTCTGGGCAGCGTGGGAAAGCGGAAAGGCGGCTCCAGCCAGAGTGAAGGCCCATTCTTGCACGAATCTTCAGGCATTAGGCCTCTAGTAGAAAAGGCGGCTCCAGCCAGAGTGAAGGCCCATTCTTGCACAATTCTTGCACAAATCTTAGGCATTAGGCCTCTAGTAGAGTATAAAGAGATCAGCAAAAATCTACCAGCATGTCTGGAAAAGCTGTCAAACCCCAAGTCTTATTGAGTTTGGGTCAGCAGTGTCATTTTGGTTATGAAAGAGCTTGTTGTCCCCAAGTCAGTAATTCTCCCCTGGACCTTCGAGGCTTTAGCACCGGTGCAGGTTTGCCAACTACTGTAAGTTATGTATTCATACACAGACTGATGGTCTTATATCACTGCCTAATTATATTTACATACAAGACCAAAGCAATTCAGTTCATCTACTAAAGGGCATGTTAAAAATCTAAACCACTGTTGTTCGTTTATGTGAACAAAAATGATTAGAGGTTAAAAAAAAATCATGATATTGAAATAAATCCTTGAAAATCTGGATTTCCATAAAGGATGATTTAAAAGCTTACAAGAACCCATCAATGCTGCTTTAGTTAGCTTTGAAGTATTTCTCGATTGGGTGAAAATAAATCCCATCTGTAGAGCATATCAGCAAGCTGACTTGCAGAAAGCTAATTTTAAAGCTAGTAATGTTGTCCTTTCTCTAATAGACCCACATGAGTTGATTTTTCTTGACTTGAACAGATATAAGGATATCTAAAGGTGAAATAAAGTTCAGTGTAACTATCAAGCACCAGAAGCTGTTTTCAACATTAATTACAAATAGAGCTTCCTTATTGAAATTTTGCTTGTAGTCAAGTCCACTCTCATGTTGGGATGACAGAGGGGCAAAGCCAAGACCAGTCCCGATCTATTCCTGCTCAAGTTGGTCCAGTCTGGGGGGTGATAATGGTAACACTCATCCACTTACTGGTTCTGGGGAAGGTTTCTTTCTTTTTAAAAATAGTTTGGTTTACTCATGGGACTGAGATCATTTATCCATGGGGAGAATTGTGAGATTTAGAGAAAGAAAAAAAACCCTAAGTTTTTACTCACAATCCTAGAGGAAAAAAACAGCAAATAGTATAGATGTTACAAATTTCCTGAAGCCTTATTTAATTGAAGTGATCCCTTGGGCCCACTTGTTGGGAAAACCTTTTCTAGAGAATTTTTCTTGGTACTTTGAAATTTATCTTGGATTACCTTACCTTATTCATCAGTTCCTATTTCTCCGAAGTGTGGATTTTAGTCAAAAACAGACAGTTAAAATGTTGGCTGTGTTCTCCTCTTTACTTTCTCCTGCTACACATATCCTGGATCCAGTCATCTGCAATGGCCTACAAGAAACATCCAAATAATAAGAAAGCCCTGCAAATCCTTTTGAAAAGATCGCCTCCCAATTACTCTATTGTGTTAACACCAGATCATCACATCACCCGTGAGGGTGTTATACTCTTTAACCCATGAAACATGTTGCAGAGTCCCACCAGAAGGCATCAAATAACTTTACTTCTCATTAGTTATGTGTTCAAAGACTCCTCCTTCTTAAAAAATGAAAAAGTTGGATTTTCTTTGAACATTAAAATAAATAAAGAAAAATACCCTAACCATGCTAATGGACAAAAGGGTATGTTGTTTATCTTCATCTTGGTTTACATGATATTTATCTACAGAACAGATGTACATTTATCCAACCAGGAAGCAGCTTAAAGTAAAATTGGAAAACACATGTACATTCTTGGGCCATTTCTGTGTGAAAATTCAGGAGAGATGATATGCCTGTAAA